TAGATAGACTACTTCTTCGTTGTAGTACCTTACCCTTAACCCGTAACGGTACGTACGTCGTCTCTCTACGAGACTACTCCTCCTTCGTGTATACTCCTACACCGAACCGAACGGACGTACTCTCTCTCTCTCTCTCTCTCTCTCTCTCTCTCTCTCTCTCGGAAAACGACCACTTTTTTGGACATCCCTTCCATGATCCTTAAAGGAGTGACCTATAAAAGGATGAGTATCATGTCTTTCTTAACCCCGTTTTATAAAAATCATTAGGGTTTATTTATTGCTTCCTAAGAAAGCCCTTTCTTTTTTTTTTGTCATAATTCACTTAATCTTTAGAAAAGTGTGGTGACTCTCACTATTACCAAACCTAACAAGATGGAGATGCCTTTTAGAAACATATGATTCTTCTTGAAATTTACATTACTTTAATTATCTAAAAATATAAGAAAATTACACTACCAAAAAAGCATAAAAGATATAACATGTTCCCATATATGTTAAGGAAAAAGCTCCAGAGTTAAATATAGATGAAAGATATCAGAAGAAACCTCATGATGGCACCATTTTCTTTGTCAGCCGGGGAGGAGTGCTGATTGTGATAAGGACTGCAAAAGTAACAAATAAACTCTACTCTGAAATTCATCTCAAGTCTGCTTAAGTACAACCCATGAAACACCGTGTATATATAGCACAGAAAGGATGTATACAAAAAAAGGTTCCCTCCGAGGAGGCAACACTAGTACTGAATAAACCATGCCAACTACTGGTAAGCCAAAGGGAAATCAAAAGTGAAGAGTAATTCAGAGAAAATGCATTTATATGCTGAGTCTCGAGGATAAAAGAAAAATCACAATTCAGGTGATTGAGAGGTTAACGATGTATTTCAACAAATTTATGATGTCCAACAAGCATGATAATTTTTCAAAGGAGATTAGGCTGATTATCCACCAGAAGTAGCAATGAGAAGGAAACAAGAATTTTCAGAAGTAGATGGATGGCAGGTCACTGCAAGCAGAGAAAGCATGATCTCTCTCTCTCTCTCTCTCTCTCTCTCTCTCTCTCTTTGATCCATATATCGGAGGAGTAGAAGGTTACCTGAGAAGAGAGGAGGGGCCTGCTGCTGGTGCCGATCTGGAGGAGACAAGGGGATGATGATGATGATGGAGACGTGAGTTGAGGAGGTGGCGGTTCCTGCTGCAATTGAAATAATAAATGGCCATTGTCACATTTGAATGAAGAAAAAGAGGAGGAGTCACAGCAGGAAGGGATGATGGGTTCGTTCGGGCGGGCGGGCGGGCGGGCGGGCGACCTATTTTATCTCTCCATCGATATTTTCACCAAACCATTTCAGTATATTGACCATGCCCATGCTCGATACTTCTCCCAACACGTGAGGACCTGCCTGCTTCCATTCTTCCTTGCCAAACCGTACACGCTGCTTTTCTACTCATTTAGCACATGATTCAGGACATCAAACAAACATTTTAGTTAAGGTTGTAGGATTTTCTTAATCGGAGGTTTGTTGTCCAATTTTTTTTTTTTAGCAAGGATATTTTTTTTTTTTGTAATTAAGAAGGATAGGATATATATTTTGGTAAGAAATTAGTGGATTCTACTAATGCTTTCTTTAAAGACAAACTTGGGATTTGCGATCATTTTTCAATATTATTTGAAGTTAGGCTCTAATTTCATTGTTTGGAGCCTAGGTTTGTATACAAACCACATTTTTCAATACCATTTGAAGGTGGTTACCAAAATTTTAGATTGAAAAAATTCTCCCAACTAAGTCATCTACCTGAATGAGTATAAGTAAACTATGCTCCTGAGTATACAAGCTTCTTTTTTTTTTTTTTTTTTTTATTCAATTGTTGATTTGGACCAAGATCAATTAGCAGGTGATCTACGCCCATGCATTTTTAAAACACTGAAAAATATTTTACATCTCATGATACATGAAGAAGTGGAATGAGTAGCCTGAAGAAATAAAAAAATAAAACTCCAAAATAAACTAATGTTGAAGTTCAAAAATTTATTTTTAATTGCTGCCTTTTTCAACTTGTTTTTGTAATTTATGAGTTCTTTTTGTCTAGGGCTTTTAAAAAATAGATCGTCTACAAAGAGATCATTTATCTTTTGTACATGGATGTCACAATTATTCCTATTCATTAGATGACTTGATGTGAGTCACCAAGTTGAGAAATTTTTTTTGGAACTTTGTGTCTATTCAATGACACTCTTCCAACCACCCATTTTGAAATTTGAGGGACAATAATGATTGTGACCACCATGTATGAAAGATAAATGATCTCTTTGTAGACAATCCCTTTAAAAAAAGAAAAACGTTTATATAGAGCCGAGGCTCAAAACAATCAAATTTGAGCCTACCCCAAAAATTTCACTAAAAGAGGTTGTTTTGATGCCCAAATATCTTCAAATCGACCATCTCGACATCAAGATGCATGAACATGAGAAAAAAATGGATTTTAAGTTTGAAAATAGTGTATTTTATAGCACATTTTTGGATAGTCAATTTTAAGATTTTTTATGTTTTCATAGATTTGTCGATCTACACTATTTTTCAAGCTTTAAACTTTATAAATAAATATACAAATATATTTTAAAGCTATCACAAAGATTTCCAATATTAAAACCACATTTCTCGATACTATTTGAAGGTAGGCTCTAATTTGATTGTTTAGAGCCTAGGTTTGTATACAAACCGAACGCTTAAAAAAATACTCTTTGTAGTTTATATTTTTGCTCGGTTCTTTGTTTTTTTTTTTTGCCACATACCCCTGCTTAGAACTATTCGTTTAGAACTGCTTAACCAAAGCAATCTGAAAGTATTAATTCCAAATTGCTCACTATAATGAAATTATTGCTTCAAACCAGAAACCTAAGGAATTGAAACTGTCCGTAACTAATTGTTCCAAATCACCTTCATTCCTTATAAAGCTACAAGGAAAGATCAAAGTAATATGAAACTATTGGTTTTAAACTAAAAATCTAGTAAGCAATCAAGAATTAATGGTTCTAAATTGGGGCTATATTGGAAAACATTAAAAAAATAATAATAATAAAGAAAGACGAGTGTAAAATGTAAAAAAGAATGTCTACGATGTAATCATTTACTTTTGATACAAAGAAGTCACAATCATTGTTGACTATTAAAGTTAAAACCGGATGGTTGCAGATGTGTCATTGTTTAGGCACAAAGTCCAAAACAAACTTTTTCAAATCTTGTGACACATTTTTATTTGTTGGATTTCACATCCAATGGCTAAAAATGATTATGATCTCATTGTTTAAAAAATAAATGATCCCAAAAATATCTCAAATATAAAATATGAGAGATACTCTTAAGTACCACTAATATGGCATCATATAGGTGGTTGCTATTTAGCACCTATCATGTGCCCCTCGTTTTTTATCCAAGGGTTTCCTGCCCTTTTTAATTTTATTGTACGAACATACAGTTGACAATGGGCCGGGATTAGGTTGGGTCATCCCTGGCCCAAGCCTGTTTCTTTGGAATCGGGCTAGGGCCAACCTTACCTCGCCAAAATGCCCTAGTTTTGGCCCGCTCCATGTTAAGCAAGGCCTAAATACCAAGCAAAAAAAGAAAAAAAAAAAAAAGTAGGAAAAACACAGGGTTGCCCCAACCGAGCCAACCTTACCTATGGCTTTTTACCTATGCCCAACCTTCTAACCAATGGTTTAAAAAACGGATCGGTGACCCGGATCGGACACCTCAAAAACCGATCCGGATCGGTGAATCGGCGATCCGGAATCGGCTGAATCGGTCGGATTAAAGCTTAAAAAAAATCCGAAAAAATTATTAAAATTCATTATAAATTTTGTTTTTTAGGAATCCAATAAAAAATGAGGGTACTACATTATTAACTTTCATTTTTTTTATCAATTTGTAAATATTGAGATGTTCTTTCCCTGTATAAATTTATTTTAACTATTAAATTTGCATCACATAAAAGAAAAATCATAGAATTATCATGAATAAAATATATAATTATATATGGACTATTATAAAGAGTAAACTAATCAATGAAAGAATGGCCATTAAAATCTCGTTTTGGCAAAAAACCCTAACCCGCTAAAAAAACCCAAACTATTACAGCCTAACTAACTATAATCCAAAATTATTACAACCTCACTAATTATAATATTATATACTGAAATTATAATTATTAGTTTACATTTTATAATTATTTTATTAGACAAATAATAACAAATTAAAAATATTTTATAATATTATCTAATTTAAAATGTATTATTGACAATTGTAAGAAAAATAGTACATTACATGATTTATAATGTAAAAATTCATAAATTAAATAAAAGATTTGGTTATCAATGTAAAAATTAATAAAATGCGCACAAATTTTGGAAATAACACTTCAATTTTTCAAAAATTTATTTTTTTAGGTTTCTATAATAAATTTAGTAAAAGAGATTGTTAGTAGAAAGATGGGGATTTCAAATAGAATAAACTTTTTATTTTTATTTTTTTATATCTTTCATATTATTTACAAAAATAATTATACCACTATATACAACAAAAATTAATGGTTATATAAAAAATTAATTTTTTTATTTTTCATTTTTTTATGTCTTTTATATTATTTACAAAAATATTTATATTTATACCAACCACTATATACACAACAAAAATATTTATATTTATACCAACCACTATATATACAACAAAAATGCAACACATGTCCAAGGGGATTCGAAAACAACAAAAATATTTATACCAACCACCATATACACAATAAAAATGCAACACATGCCCAAGGGGATTCAAATGCAATACATGCCCAAGGGGGTGCCCAAGGGGATTCGATCATGGAAGGTTAAGTAAAAAATTCAAAGTCATAACCATCAAGGCATCTAACTACATGTGACTATAAATTGCTTATTAATAGACTATATTTACATTTCGTTTTCATTTAATGATGTTTGGGAATTATCCCACATCAAAAGATGGGTATTCAAATTTGGTATATAAAATACCTATGCAATATGAATTATAAAATGTGTATAAAAATATTAGGGCAACCTCGTATGTGCGTTTGGACACACGTGTGCGCGTATAAATGTGCGTGGGGCACGCTCGCACGTGCGCTCGAACACACGTGTGCGCCTGTGAGTGTGCGTGGGGCACGCTTGCACGTGCGCTCGGACACACGTGTGCGCGTGTGAGTGTGCATGGGGCACGCTCGCACGTGCGTGTCATGTGTTACGTGTGTGAACCGGGCTAAACCGGATGGGAACCGACGGTTCCACTCTAGAACCAGGTTGAACCTGATGGGAACCGGCAGTTCCACTCTAAAACTGGGTGGTTCCCGGTTTTCGGTTGAAATAGGTACGAATACGCGTGTTTTCGAGTCGAATCGGGTCGCCATTTTTTAAAACACTGCTCCTAACCATATTCCTAACACTTGCTGAAGTCTTTTTCGGGTCCTAACACTTGCTGAAGTCTTTTTCGGGTCGGACCAGGCTGACTGGCCCAGCCCTATACAAAGCATCATCATATGCTTTTTTACATATTCAGTACAATTAGATATTGTCCCCATGCATCTTTTGAATCTTTTATGAATGTCCGATCATGACTAAAATATAACTGACAAAGGACCGTGCTGATAGAAAATATGCACTTGAGGGATTTTATATTACAAAATTGTTTACTTTTAAGCAAAAACGGTCACAATTATCTTTACTCAGGCACAATTATGGAGTTTGACAAAACATATTTTGAAATCAAGGAGATCACAATTAACTTTACTCATTATAAGCACAACTCGCCACAACTACCCTTTGTTATCAAATGTCAAATCCGGCAGCTTTAGATGCGTTACACAGTTTGAAAAAACATATTTTGAACTAAGAGCGTAACACAAGTATAACCGCTCAGTTTGAAATCTTTCGTGGGGCTGAAATTTTACGGGTCAATAATCGACAACCATGATCATGGATAAGAGAAAAATGGTTTTGAATTTTTTTTTTTTTTGAGTGAAAAAAATGGCTTTTTTTAGTGAAGAAAATGGTTTTGACCTTAAAAAGTATATTGTTTTGAACTTCGTGGATTTAAAGTGTCTAAACTCCAAAATCCATTTCAAATTGATTCTTAGAAGGGAGTTTCATCTGTATTGATACAAGTCGACTACCGACAAAGACCCTTGCTTAGGTAACCCAAAAAAGGAGAACATCTCTGGTTATTTTGACCTGACTAAAGCCCAAGGCACCCACATTTGCATAAAGGCTGAAGTTTCTCTAAGTTAAAACATATCTTCATATTGATTAATAAAGTTTAAAGTTTTAAAAATAGTATAGATCGTCAGCTCTATGAAAATTTGAAAATCTTGAAAACTGACAATCTTAAAATACGTTACAAAATACACTATTTCCAAAACTTGATATCCAATTTTTTCTCATGTCCATGCATCTTGATCTCGAGAGGATCAATTTGTAGATATTTAAGCATCAAAACAACATCTTCTAATGAAATTTTTGAGGTAAGTTCAAATTTGATTGTTTAGAGCCTCCACTCAATATATAACTTTTCCCTTTCTTAAATGGAAGAAAGTAGTAGAATTCAACACAATAGAGTCTTTAATTAATCTCCATCATTATTTTAAAATAACATTCCTTGAGCAGCAATACAAGACATCATCACCTCAAAGCCTTCTTTTTCATTACAACCGAATGGTTCAAAAAAGGGTATCAGTCCAACAAAAATGCAAAATTACGGATGTTATATAGTACAAATTACAGGGGCCTGCAAACAGTTAAAAAGGGCTAGGGGCCAGAAACAGTTGCCAACACTCAAAATATTAATATAAAATTATGTATAGCGAAGATTTAAGGAGAATACTAGTGCTAACAAATAGCCAACCCCAGGGTTGAGAGAAAGATGAAACACATGAATTCCCAATTTTAGCTGGATGATGCAACTGGTTTGGCCATGGCCCGCTTAACTGCATGTGAGTAGGTCGTGTGCTGGTAAGTTAATGTAGATTCCAGCAGATCCCATAAGGATGTCTTTGGGTTCCAACCTGCAACACCACCATGCACAAATCTCATGTCAGGCTCTTCCTTAAACAACAGATTTCTACACACATGCATGCACCGTATCCGATCCCTTTTTCCTTACAAAGAATACTAGTTAGAAACAGAAAAACGTGAAGAAAAGTACCAAGTTGCCTGTTGATAATTGTCATGTCTGGGATACGCTTATCACTGTCATCATACCCCTCACCGTAAAATTCTTTCGAGCTCACATCAATGGTCGGTACCTCCAGGATGGGTTCTCCAGACACCTTTGAGTACACCTACAGGGGAGCAGGCCATGGCCAATAAAGATGACAACGCATGCATCAAACGCAAGTTACATACACAAATATTTCTTTATTTTCTGTTATGATACCTCAGTCATCATTTCAGCAAGTTGCTTCACTGTAACCTCATTGTCGGGATTGCCCACATTGAAAATCTGGCCATTGGCCCTGTCTGGGTTTTCCTGAATTATTTTAGCCATTATCAGCCCAAGTTGTATCATCCCAACAACTCAACTCATGCGCACACGTAGCAGAAATAAAACTTCATACTTACAATCATTAGCAGAACAGCTTCAATAGCATCCTTGATGTAAACAAAAGTTCGTTGGGACTCTCCACCATCCACAAGCTTGAGTGGCTCCCCTCTTAAAAGATTCTGAAGCAGAAACACGTAAATATCTACACACAATACGAATTGAAAGTCTTGTTCTCACTCATTTTATTACAAAAACAAAAATGCAGTACTCACATTACTGAAGCAAGCCAGAACCCTTGGGACACCCTCACTGGGCCCATCAATGCCTGGAATGAAATCCATTCTCGGTCCAATCCAATTGAAAGGTCGCACAATAGTAAACTCGAGACCATTTTCAGCACCCTCAGCTACATTCATCAGACAAACCAAGTAAAGCCTCTGTCAGGAGCACAACATTCACCAATGCAAACCAACTAGATTGAAAGACGGGATTGAATCCTCACCATATACAAGCCTCTCAATGAGTTGCTTTGCACAGGCATAGGACCACCTCTGTTTCTCGATTGGACCAAAGATGCAGGGGGAAGCATCTTCTTTGAGGACATAAAATTCAGGTTCCTGTTGAAAAAGGAAACCCACAACATGGAAGAACCATAGACATTAGAATTGGATAAGTCATAAAAAACAAAACATAGTGACAAGATCAAATTTCAACTGAAAATCCAATTCACATGCACCAATGGATATTAGAGAATCTACTACGCCATTTATTGAAAGAAATAACAAATCAGCAAAATAATTTGCATGAAAAAAAAGGCAAACCTGACATCTACCAAGCCATTTATCAAAATAAACAATACACCAGCAATGAAAATACAGTGAATTCATTTACCCAAAAAAAAATACAGTGAACTTGTAATATCCGGATAACCCCTTTTGCCATTCACATGCCAGTTTCAGCTGACATTCTTTTACATCCAAAAGGGGGTTTACTAAGCTACTCCAAATATTCAGCCTGCTTTGAGCTTCAGGTTGTATCAATGTGCCATAACCCAGGTCATTTTCATGTTAATTTGATTTCCCACACCCTAGACACATGTGTAACCAATAGAAATCCAACTATAAATTTCATTAATTTGGAAAGAATTTGAAGGTATAACTCAAAATAATAGAGAAAATATAAACATAAATTACTCCAGAATAGAAATTAAATGGATCAAATTCAAAATTTGTCATGATGCACGATCAAATGAACTAATAAACATAAACATAAGCTGCTACAAATGCTGCTAATATCAAGGCATTTCCTGAAACCCCAGAAGCTGACGAGGACCCAAGTAAATGCAACCTCAAGTCACAATGACTAGCATCACTGATAGTGGCCAGCAAATGCCTTCATTTCACTTGGCAGTTGCCTGTTGACTAGGCAGTAAGCAATCACGTCCAAATAAATTAACCCCCAAGATGAGGATTCTGCAGAGGTACACTCCCCCAAAGGCTGGAGAGGTTTGGAGGTTAGACGAACCCCAGAAGTGGGAAAAGAAAACAACTTTTCCTTTTTGGGATATCGTTCATTCTCTATCTTACAAACAACACCAGATCAGAGATTTTTTTAACTACTTTAGTCCACAAAGATTCAAAATTCACTAAGAATGGCGTTTTTTTGACATGTGTCCATCAATCTTACTCAGCTTTCTATATCTGCTGTTAAGAATAACATTGTAGTCTAATAAAACAAATCATTACTCAAACCAAATGCCAAAAATATCAAGTCTTTCACAAAAGATCCATAAATAAGAATGTTGCTGATCAGAACCCACATGACATTGAGCAATCAAAAGACATGACGCGACATTCACACATTAATCCGGTCATGTTGGTGCCAGTAGACTCATTACTAGAGGTGGCAGTCGAAATACATTTTTACTAAACTACCAAGGTAAAAAGGTCCCATCAAATGCATTTTTAACTAGTCATGCTGAAGAGGAAGTTAAGGAACAAAAACAATTACTGGAATTGGATATAACTAATACAACAGGGATGGGGTATTTTGGCACATGAAAAACTACCAAGCAGTAATCCAGTAGCACTCACTTGAACCACATGTGATGATTGAGACCCTTGACATCTGAGGATGAAATCAAGGAATGGATATATGAATAGTACAAGGCACCTCTCAATGAAAAGAGAAAATGATTGAGGAGGTTTCAATGAGTAACAGAAGCGTGGACGATATACAGATGCTCTACTTTGTTGGATGAACAGGAAAAAGGAACCTTTGAAAGACCATGTGTGCAACATGAGATATACATTTAATCAGCTGTTCACCACATATCTCACGCAAATATCATCGCTTTGGGCTGAAGCTCATGTATTACAATCTCTGTCTCAAACCCCATGATTGCAATTTCCCTCTTGGAAATTGGGAGAAAGACGTTTGGTCTCGAGTTACACACTGTCATAAAATTCAACTGCCTCACCGCCTGGGAGGTTCAGGGCCATGGGCGTGTCGTTTAGAGGTAGGCGGACAACTAGGGCAACCTAACCAAAAGGCACCTGCCTTTTGGGCCAAGACAGGCGACGAGGCGCTGGGCAGGCACCCAGTCCCACCTTTTGGCCCAACCGGATGACTCAATGAACCCCGGACAAGGTCAGAAAATTGGCCTCAGTAGGGGATTTTTGTCATTTTCCAATTTTAAAAGAGGGTGAAAAGGGTTTTCAGGGGGCATTCCACCCCCAAAACCCTCTTTGATTGTTTTTCATCACCAAATTCAGATGCGGCTGGTGTCGGTCCAGGAGATGGAGAAGGTGGTGTTACAGTAGCAAGTGGTGGTCATGATGGTGGTGGTGATGATGAAAATCAATTTGAAATTTGAGTTGATGAGATTTATTTTCTTGCTTTAAGCTCTGTTCTCTCAAGTCTTTTGAGTATTAACTTTTATGAAATTCTGTTCTGATACATGTATGTGGATTGGTATGAATTGACTATGGCATATTAGCATGTAATGACAGATTGTCTATGTAACTATCAGTGATCAATACAATTTTGCATGAATCTTGAATAATTTTCAATCTGCTAAAGTTTCAGCAATTTAATTCAAATTTCAAACTCATGTATGTAGGGGTGAGAGAGAGGAATTAGGAGAGAGTGAAGGAAGATAGAAAGGAGAAGAGAGGGGAGAGATTTTGACGTCCCCTTATCAAAACCAAGAGATACAAACAAGAAAAGCAATCTACAAGGAGTGGACTGCATCAACAAGGTACAAGAGAGGAGAGAGAGTAATGGGAGCAAGAGAGAGAGGGTGTGTGAAACTATATTTGAAGCCCAAGCGCACGAGGCTGCTGTGATAAAGTATAAGGAAGAGTAACAGAGAAAAGGAGAGAAGAGGAGGTGGAGGAGAGAAAGGGGGAGTAGAATTAGGAGAAAAGAGAGGGAGAAGTGGGAGGAGGCAGATAAACTCTAGGGAAGGTAGAGGAGGGTAAAAAGTTACCTCTGACCATTTGCTCAACTTAATGAATTGAATTTTATAAACCAAAACAAGGGAAATCAGAGGAAGGGGAGAAGATACAAAGGAAAAAAAGAGGAGAAATGAAGACAGGAGGGGGAAGAAAAAAAAAAGTATACGGTGAGGAAAAAGGAATCAGGTTTAGTAAGATAGGACTGAGGAAAGAGGTATTTTTGTTTGTTTTTGTTTGGGGTAGCAGAGATGGGTCAAGTGAATTTAGTAAGACTCCCAGCAACATCCTTGAGGCCGCAAACCCCTCTAATCTCTGTCTGGCTGCCCAGGCTTCCAAATCCATGATCTTAAATACTGGTTCTAAACTCCAAAAGACACCTATTCATTCTTTTTCCTTCTTTTAAAAAAGAAAAGAGTAGATATTGATAACTATTGCAATCAAAATCAGTGTAAAAACATATTTGCGAATGGACCACATTAACTCCAATGGTAATTCCATGTCACAATTCTCTGCTCTAGAGCACCCCACAGTCCTCCACTTATGCCACAAATCAGGTTCCTAAGCTACTGAACCAAGATTAACTTAAAACAAGAAAAAAGAAAAAAATAATATGCCAGGACCTCATATTCATAATTGTGAAAATCCGCAAGAATAGCAATATAATTACAACCAACTTCAATGCGGTAACCGAGAAATAAAAAAGAGTCAAACAAAACATGTTTACAAGTCATTATTTCTTCTTTTTTTAAGGAAATAGTTATCTAAAGAAGTCATTATTTCATGGCTAGAAAATCAATAAACAAATATGTGCCATCGATTAGACAAATGAAAAAACAAACATAAGAAACCATGAACGACATGAATTCCCATTATCATGAAATGCCATGTATAGAACCAAATCAAATTAGAGGCAGTTCAGTCCAGACATAAAATATGTAAAAAATGTTAAATCAATAAAAGAAATACACTAAAAAATTGGTTTATCAGTCTTCTTGCCATAAATTGGAACCATAAAGAGAAGAATACTACAAAGAATATCATCAATTGTACAGAAAAACCGCTGACTCGCCATACATACAAAAGAAAAAAGGGGAATACCCCATAAAATCAATCGCATTTCTCCAAGAAACCCGAATCAGGGAAATAGCACACAGCGAGAGAAACTCCGCCAAACGCACAATAATTCCTCAGTCGGGATCCTAGAAAAAGTAAAGAAAAGGTAAAGCAAGAAGAAAGGGAAAAGCGCACCTTTCTTAGGGGATGATCCTTTGGAAGGAAGCTGCCAACGGTCTTGCCATAAACTTCGCAAGTGGAGAAGTGGATGAGACGCTTGTTGTTTTCTGAGCAGTACTTCACCTGCACCAAGGAAAGAACAGAACTCATATTTACATTTTCTTCTCAAAAGAGCAAAGAAATATGATGAAAGAAGAGGACGCGAGCATAGTAAAAGGGAGTGAGTGATGGGGCAAGAAAGAGGAAAAGAAATTAAAGGGGGTGATCAATGGAGCTTCTTCTGCTTCATCTTCTTCATGGATTGCAATGCTAAATAAATCAGACAGAAAAAATGAATGGCAGACATACAACAGGGAGGGCATCGATGAAGTTGCTGTAAATGGTGTCAAGAGGGCGGGTATTGTAATCGGCAGGCGTGCATATAGCCGCAAGGTTCACTGTCTGCAAATCAAGAGAGGATACAGTTAGTACGTCAACGCAATTTAATGAAGCAACAAAATGGAGAAACAGATCGAGGAAATCTGAGGAGAGAGGAGGAGGGTTAGGCAGCATACCAGATCTGCCATCTTGATGAGGCCTTCGAGCCGAGAGTCGTGCTTGATGTTGATCTTGTGGAACTCGATGCGGTTGGACCATGGCTGACCAGGATTGAGAAGATGCTGGATCTTGTCACTGTAAACGTCAATGGCGATGACCCTGTGAGGGGTCTCCCACATCAGCTTCTCGCATAGGTGAGACCCAATAAACCCTCCTCCACCAACCAGACACACCGTCAATGGCTTGATGGCCCGACCATCCAGATCCACTCGCGCCGCAACACTCCCACTCGCCATATCTCTCTCTCTCTCTCTCTCTCTCTCTCTCTCTCTCAAAAACCTCAAGTTGGTGGTGGTGGTGTCGCAATCGGAAAATGGGCGAAAAACCTCAAGTTGGTGGTGGTGGTGTCGCAATCGGAAAATGGGCGAAGTAGCGCAGAGGAGGGCAATCTAAGAGAGGGAGGGTAATTAATGGGAGTAAAAAGGTCCACCCCTCTCTATACGACGGAGACAGAGGAGGTTGGGAGAGGAGATCGCATGTGGCTCTATTTAAAGACGCCCTTACGTGGGAAAACGATGGCCCTGCAAAGACGAGGCACCCACCGTTGCTCTCTCTCTCTCTCTCTAACGCACCGTCGCGCTTTCTCTCTCTCTACTCGTTGTTTGCATGGATCTGCTCTCTCTCTCTCGCTCTCATGTACCACACCATGTGAGTGTCCCCGCGTAAACGAGCTGTCTCCCCTTCTATGGAACGGAAACATCGATATTTTTCGGCCTTTTCTTATTTATGCTACGGTCACTCCGCGTTAAATAAATAAATAAATAAAAGATTATAATGTTGTGTTTAGATTTTTTTTTTTTTGAGTTTTCATTTCATGTACTTATTCTAATCTGTTGGCCCAAACATGCTTAACTTTTTAAGTTATGATGGATCCGGTGCATCAGTGTTGGTTCGACCGCACCCACTTCATTTTGAAAAATACTTCATATTTTAAAGTTTATGCTCATTGCTTATCTTTTTTTCGTATATATTTATTTTCCAAATATACATCAGGTCCTTCTAGAGTCCTCGTTGAAGTTCTGGACCACTTATTGGAATTTTCAATCCTAAAACTAATGGTTCCAGATTCATTATAGCTCAGTGGTTCAAGGCTATCAGTATCAGGTCCCTTTCAATTTGTTAGTACGAGTGGTTCATTGTCATTGTGAGTGGTCCAAAGCTATTAGAATCGGGTCATTTTAATTCCTTACAATGAGCGATCCATAATTAATAGTTCTGGACTCCTGTTGAACATAACCATAAAATCTAAAATATAGCAGAATTTTTTTTTTTTTAAAAAAATCAATGTTAGCGTAAATTTTCCAATAGAAAGGGTGCAATTCTATGAATTTTAATAGATAGGAATAAACTGATTCGCGATAATCGTGCTGTCGTTTCGGAAATTTATGAGTCAACTTGCCTAAGTCATTCGGATCTAGCATATTCATGTTCGCATATATATTCAACCGTATCTGACCCGAATCTGACCCAAGAGCATACTTCTACAATGGCTAGCTGCTATTGTAGAAGTTGAACCCATGCGTTGATTTTTTTTTGTTCTGATGACCATGTTGACGTTGAGAAAGTTACCCTAGTAATGAGCATTGGGCAACTGGTGTTTCATCGCAATGTCGCATGATTGGGTGTTGCAACCATCATCACTTAGCGATGTCGCCTGACGAGCATCGCGTCAGACATTTCATGATGTGCATGTCACCGATGTGTGCAATGGATAATTTTGAACCGTTGTGATTGTTGACGGACCAATTGCACAAGCAGCTGCAACTAATGAATAATTAATTACTATTAAATAAATAATGGGTGATAATTTAAAAAGCCCAAGATGAAACTCACTACGCAACAAATTGTCACAAGACAATACTTTAAAAGAACAATTTTGACTTCATAAATGGAACTTGTTTTCACTTGTAAAATACAACCCTTATACGCCGTGCCGTGCTTTTTTTCCAACTCTTTCTACATCGTGAAGAAAGACAGCTCCAGCGCAATGAGATATCCATGCATGTATTCGGTCTTCTTTCTTTAGGTATCAACAAGGCAAATTTGCTCGGAGAACCTATACATGCTAAAAATTATCAGTAGGGGGAATTAAACAAGTAGGAGGGTATAAGGTTCTTGTAGCAAGAATATTATCAGTCGGGAGAATTAAACCAATAGGAAGGTATAAGGTTCTTGTAGGAAGAAAAAGATGAGGGTTTTTCTATCTTTAGTTTGTTTTAAGCACCTCCAACAAATTGGATTTTTACAACCCCAATTCTACCCACACCTCCAATTATGCGACGTTTTCGATGTAGTGACTCTCTTCAAGAGCAGTAGTAGATAATAATTGTGACACAATGAACGACATGGACTACGCTTTCTCTCCGATGGGGGAATCTATGTTGACAAAAACTATTTTTATCTTATGAGAGTTTTTCTCTTTTTTTCCGATAATTTTTGCAATTTTGATTGCTCGACTCATCAAAAACCCAAACAGTGTACTCATTTTCTTCTTCTTTTTTTTTTTTATTCCCGTTTTTTTATCGTTATTGCTATCTCAATCAAATTCTTATATTAATTTGTAGTAGTTTGGTGTATTATTGTGTACTTTAAATTTTTTATATTATTTAATTTTAAATACTATTTTTTTCTTCTTTTTTAATTGCCTCTCATTATGGTTGTTCGTGCAACACGCGGAAATCCCCTATATGTGTATATATCACTATCCAAAAGAAAAAAAAAAGTGAGGGAAGCACAATGTTTTCCTTTTGGTATTAAAGGAAATGACAACAAGGCATTTATCCTTCAAAGAAAACAATGCTTACACAGAGAATTGGGGTGGGTGGGCCCTCATATAACCTTCAGTAATAGGCAAAGAATATGTATGACCTGCTGTCTCTAGTGGTGTCATTGCCCGTCCCATGTGTTTCATGCTGTTTCCATGACATCACCTCAATATAAATATTTCATTGCAGCTGTACCTATCCATAATTACAATAAAAAATTATTTCATGCAAGCTGGATTAGTGTATTTCTACCTTATACGGTCCAGAGCATCTATTTTAAAAGATAGATGTAAATAGGTGGTCTATCTAAAAATAATTATAATTAATATTTTAATTATTTTTTAAATATCATTATATTTTAAAAATATATTTATTGTCAAGCCCGCATTTCTACGATATGTTGGATGGGCTGGCCGCATAGAAACTATCTTAATTATAATAATAATAATCTATCTATTATAAATTTCCTACTCCCTCGGGAGTATGCTATCCATTTACTCCCTTTGGTATAATATATTTAGGAATATCTATTAGATTTCAAATTCTGGGAATACAATCTTTGAATACTAATTTCAATAAAAATAATTTCCAAAATATACTTCCTATATACTAATACCTCATGATTAAATAGATACTCTTCAATTTTTTAATAGCTAAGTGTCTCAAATCTCAAAGTTCAAATATGTGATGATAATAATAATCTTAATTGATGTGACTAATATGAACCTATAAATATGTGGTGATGGTAGCTCCCTCAATGAAATATCGTATCTTGGACTTTTATAATTTTAAATTAATTCATTTCTTAAAAATATGGTAGTCGAAAAAGATTTTTTTGTTTGTGATGGAGTCATTTATGCCATTTCTAGCATTGTACCTCCGTCAGTATAACTGACGACACACGTGGTGTGGTACTAACCACACATGTGGTGTATTACTAAATGTTAAAAAGGAGTAATAAACATGTCATACATCTTTGTCATAAATTAATAATTTTAATTTGATTATTGTAATAGTGTAAATTTTACCAATTAAAATGTGGGTGCCGTTTGTTCATAGGCCAGGCTCTAAACAATCAAATTAGAGCCTACCTTTATATAGTATAAAAAAATATAGTTTCAATACTGGAAGGTTTTTTTATAGTTTAAATTATATTTTCATCTTTAGTTATAAATTTTAAAGAGTAGAAAATCGTGTAAATCAAGCAAATCTATGAAAAGTTGAAAATTGAAGGTCGAAAAATGTGTCATAAGATGCACTATTTTCAAAACTTGAAATCCATTTTTTTCTCATGTCCATGCGTCTTGATGTCAAGATGATCAATTTGAAGATATTTGAGAATCAAAACAACCTATTATAGTGAAAGTTTTGAAGTAGCCTCTAGGTTGATTGTTTAGAGCCTACGCCCTATATAAACTATTACCTTAAAATATGTCACCAATCGTAATTTTTTAAGTAGCGCACTATCCCCAAAAAAAACAAAAAAAACAAAAAGAATAAAGTTTATATGTCAACCTTTTATAAGGTTGCAACGTTAAGCAGTCCAATTAAAGTACACCTCCAAATTTTATCATACCATGTAAGTTTGGTGTTAAAAGTTGTCAGGATTATCTAAAATTTATTTTTTATATTTAATTATAAATTTTTAAATTTTAATAATTATTAAAATCAAGTAGATCTATAAACATATAACATATGAAATATTAAAAATGGACAGTCTAGATAATATATTACAATATGTATTACTTTTGGGTCTCAAAACCGTTTTTGTTTTTTTTTTTCATATTCATATATTTAGATGTCAAGATCAAGATGATTAATTAGAGAGATTTTTCACCATTAAAACAATCTTTTCAGGCCAATTATTGAGTTGCATTTTTAATTCTACATTTTAAGGTTGCAACCTTTTATAAAAGAAATTTCTAATATTAAAAGGGAAATATTTATATATTTCCCCTACAGCATAGAAGAACTATCCTCCCCTTGCCATCCAGCCGTCCAATTTTGATCAACAGGGCCACTCATTGTTTGATCTTAGATCCGACGTCTCTAAGTATTTTATTTTTAGTTTTTTTATACGAATTGTATGAATATAAAATTTGGTACGTGTCATCTTCTCATTGGGGCACACTTATAAAAAATATTAAAAATAATTTTTTTATAAAATATAATGACCAAAAATACCCTTTGAATATTTCAAGGGTATTTTGATCTTTTTATTTTATTGGAAATATTTTTTTTATATTTTTCGCTAGTGCAAGTTTAATAGAAAATTGGATGTTCAAAATTTGGTATAAAAATAGTTTATAGAAAAAATATTAAAAAAAAATAGTGTAGAGACGTGACATTGTCTTTGGGGCAATCTTATTCCTCCATTCAGAATAGACAGTTGGTTAACGAGAAGTATATAAGTTTTATATTGTAGGGGAAGCATAAAAGGCTTGCCCATATTAAAATAAGACGCATCTCAAAACTACTATAAAACTTGTTTCGACGTTAGAAAACCCTCAAATTAATCATCTCAACCTCAAGATGCATGAATTAAAAAAAAAGTTACAAAAAAAAAATGTCAAACCATAAAAATAGTACATATTGTAATGCATTATTTGAACCATCTATTTTCAAAAAAAATAATTAAATATTTATACAACAAATTTAAAGCTTTAAAATTTATAATTAGGGGTGATAATGTATTTTTTTATGCTATCACAAGGCTTTTCTAGTACCAAAACTCTATCTTTCGGCTTGGTTTTGAGGTGCGCCTTACTTCTTCTTTTTTATGGGTAG